GGGTGTTTTTTGCCTTACTGCAGAGAATGCATTAAGGTAAAAACCACCTAGCCTTTAGTACTACTTTAAGGTACTTGAGTGCTTTTGTAAGCATTATTAACATTTAGCTCCTGAGTTTAGTGTCACTTTAAATCTTCCAGTAGTCTTTTATTGAAATAAGAGAAGGGGTTTTTTTTTTTTAACATAAATGGTTACTTGTCCCACAAGGTAAGTTACCTGTCCCACCACTGATCTTCATCCTGTTGCAGAGCTGAGGTGGCTATGGATTATGCATCTTCTGCATCTGACACTTCAAGGAGTGTCGGATGTCTGGTACCCCGCTGCAGTACGACTGGTCCTCCAACGGGCTGCAATGCCACTACAGGAAATCTCAATGAGTTGGGGACCATTAATTAAAACCACAGAATGCAGTTGGGACCAGGCATCCAACACACCTGAAACATGTCAGATATCAAAGACGTTTTAGCTTTACAACCAAGTGAAGATTTGCTGTGTGGCAAGTATTAATTATTTTCTTTACAGGTAACCTTTTTTTTTTAAGGGTAACCTGCACAGAGAGAAAAACTAGCATTGTCAGAAAGATGTCCACAATGACATGCTACATGTTTTTTCAGTACAGGTTTCCTTTTAATAATTATAACTAGACACTTTTGGTGAATCAGCCCAGACAACACAAGGTTATCTCAAATATATAAACAGAACAGCACTTTATTTAGGGAAAGTAGAAATACAGCCATTAGTACAGGTATGTTGAGTTGCAGTTGCAGAGACACAAACAGGATAAATACTGATTGTTAGAAAAGGAAATTAAACAATCGATTTTCTTCCTCCACTGAAGCATGGTGATGAACATCTGACAATTGTCCAGTATTGTCAATGGCCCCTTTAATTCTGAGGCCATCAGGAATTTGTTTTGAGCACTGGGGTCTGTAGCTTAGTTGAACAGTTGATGTCACCAGTATTACTATATATCTATTACACCAGTATTTCAATATCTTACTTCCATATTTAAGATGGTCATAGGCATTAGAAAATTGTCAGATCCTACACTGATGCAACTCAAAAACAGCTTAAAGCAACTTCTTCAGCAACTCAAACCCAAGTCAAAGCAACTCAGAAGTACCTGAAAACATACTGCATTTGACATGCATATAAAACATAGCCGTAGCCGAGGCGCTGTTGATTATGGATTATGCATGCATAATATAACTAATAGAAGTAATTATCTGAGAATTCATATACGGTTGTCACGGTTTACATCTAGATCTTGCCTTACAATATTTGGTGGAAGGAAGGTGTATAAAACCAAAATGTCTAATCCACATCAGTGAGCAGTCACATGGGCTCTTAGTCTTACCTTTTTTTCCCTTTTGTCCATTGGTGATTCTTCCTTCAACACAAACACAGGGATGAGCCTAAGATTACAAAGAGTAAAGCATAAAGTACAATTAAAATAAGACAAAAAAGCCCCATTTTCAGTTAAGCTTTTTGTTCTAATATACTGTATATTACACACACACACACACACACTTCTTGGTATAAATCTTTATAGATAGGACCTCGTTCTCAGACAATGTACAATATTTTTCATATACTTACATCTAATAAAACATTGGCAAAAGCCATTGAGTTTGCAATTCACATAAAAATATTTAATTACAGATGCAGAATTTTCAGCCGCACACTATTACAAATGGAAAATATTGTTACATTTTGTGACCCTGACATTCAGCATATTAAATATTGTGTGTATGATGTAAGTAAATGCTTGCTGTGCAGGAATTTCCAGATTGTCAGATGATTCATCTGGAATGGATGCACACACACCCACAATTATGAGCGTGACATATGTTTTAGACACTCTTAACTGCACATCAATGGTATTTGCTAAATATTACTAACCTCATCTAAGGATAAACCCATGGAGAGGGCAGCATGGCAACAAACATTTTAGTGAAATAATGTCAAATCATCTTACTTTATTCATTCCATTTTTCATGGCAGTACAGTCCATCTTAAAAGGAGAACTATGAGGTGAGTGATTTTCACTCAACCTCATAGTTCAAGCTGACGTGTGACAATTAAACTGTCAAACGTCGGGTCAATAGATCGGGAAGTGAGCAAATGCATACCGTCGTTTGCTCACTTCTCGATCATCTCCCTGCACAGAGCCATGACCGTCACTCACGGCTCCTTGCAGGAATTCCCCGTTCCGATCCTCCAGCGCTGACTGGCGGAACGTACTGGGGAGGGGGCGGGTACAGCTGGCTCTGCCTCTAGATAGGCCGATTTGGGTCATTGGAGGATGCTAGTTTATGTCCTCCCATGACCCTTAGGAGAACTATGGGGAAAAACACTTACCCCATAGTTCTCCTTTAAGAATGTACTTAACATCATGATATGAGAAGACACCAATATATAAACAAATATATTAGTTCCTCCTTCATGTTAATAAAGTATATGAAGGAAGAACGAAGGCAGGCAGAGACAGATCAATAAAAGACAACCATTTTTACCTATTTGAAGTTTTTTTTTCTGCACTATATGATGATAATGAGCTCCTGAAGCAATCAGAGATGATGGTACCAGATTTTCCCTGCAAGTGGCTCTTGATCATTCACTCTGCTATGAGGAAATGTGTGCTAATGTCAGCATTGGAGTGCCACTGGGTTTTGTTAATTGTTTGGTTCATGGAAAGATGGGCAACTATGTCTCTTTCTGTCATTTTTGGGGAGATATTTGCCCATCTATGGCCTGTCTAACTCTTTTTGCCAACTAACTAGCCTTTTGTTTTATTCTCCTATATTCCCTGACAAAGTGGAAAGGTGAAGGTAAGAATGTGCCATCATTGCACTCTTTTACACTGCCCAAAACTGCCGATTAATTGGCAGATCCAAATGAGTAAGAATTCTCATTTTCAGTGCTGATCACCTTGTACTGCAACAGTTTTGGCCAACCGAAACAGATCACTTAATTTAGCCTCTGTACACTGTAACCATTTATACTTACAGTAGGGTCAAAAAGTTACTACATCTACGCTGTAACTCATTAGATATGGGGTCATTCAGTCGCTATATTTACAGTGTAACTTATTGAACATATGATCATTTATTTAGGCATACATTAAACAAGAAGACAAGAAAAATGTTAAAAAAACAAACAAACCACTCACCACTAAAACACCATTGGTGATTATTTCAGCTGGTGGTTCTTGGCTATTTAGAAAAAAATAGGACATGGATTACATTTGTGATAAAACAAGGCACCTTACTTTACTTAAAGTGACACTAAACTCGAGTTAAATCATACAAATGCATTCAAGTACCCTAACGATTAACAAAAATGTATCTTATCTGTATATCACTCGGTTGAAGATCCTCAAATAATCTCTGAATTGGTGCCGACACTGTCCTTCCTTCTGGAGGGGGGCTACTTTTGTTCCCCATGAACTCTGTGTGTGTTGTAATGTAGCCACCACTCTAAGCTCGCTCCTGTGATGGACTACAGTCTCAATACAAATTAGTAAACTAAACTTCAGATTGTGGTCTATCACAGGAGTGAGCTTGGAGTGGTGGCTACTTTACAACACACACACACAGGGACCATGGGGAACAAAAGTAGCCCCCCTCCAGAAGAAAGGACAATGTCAGCACCAATTCAGAGATGATTTGAGGAACTACAGCCGAGTGGTATACAAACAAAGTACAGTTTTGTTAATAGTTAAGGTACTTGAGTTTAGTGTCAATTTAAAGCTTGCATGTACTTTTACTGATTGTGCTGCCATATAGTTTAATATACAGCTAAATTTTAAAAGAAAACTAGTGGGTTTTTTCTTACCTTTCTTCAAGGTGGAATTCGACTTCTAACACTCCCTTGTCCTATATATGCAAACAATAATATGTCAGTGAACCTTGTAATGTATAAAAATGTACATACAGTATATAACGTATATAAACCTGATATGTTTATTGCAACAAAACCATTCTTACAGTGTACTGCTAATGTATCATTTATCATTATCACATATTTTCATATGATTGGTACATAGCTTGGAACAAAAGCCACCCTCCAGAAGGAAGGACAGTGTCAGCACCGATTCGGAGATGATTGAGGATCTACAGCCGAATGATGCACAAATAAGATACATTTTTGTTAATAGTTAAAGCAACATTAAACCTTTAATTTTTGGGGTTTTCTTTTTTTACTTTTCTTGCTCATTGGGGTCAGACTTACTTTAAAAAATGTTTTTAGTCTTTAAATGTTTTTATTTCCGTGTTCTCTAGTGGTATCCAAAGCACCAGTGCCTCCATGATCTAGCTGGCTGCTGTAGAGGCACCTGTGCATGCACAGTCACGGCCGTGCCTGCACCTAGCTGTGTGCGTTCATAGACACACGCAGCATGACTGTAATCCACAGTAATCTTGCACAATAGAACACAGTACAGAGCTGTAAAGCAATCAACTCTCCCTACACAGCTCTCACTAAACTACTCCAACACACACTGACAAATGGTTGCTGGGAACCCACCCTTTTATAGTGCATGGCTGGCACATAACAAAGCCTCTCGATAGTGGCCCTTCTAAGCCAGCTGACCTATATTCAAACTCCAGGCAGTGCATTATGATAAAGAATTTGGTGTGGTGAATTTCATCCTAAATTTGCGAGGACAATGAATGTGCAGGGTTTGCCTCAAATCAATGGTTTTGGTGAACCCAAAATTAATTCCTAGTCAGGAACCTATAGACACAGAAAACTTGGTTCTATAAACCTCATCAAAACATGCCATGCCTTGAGCCATGCCAAATTCTCCTGAAGGGCTGTGGCTTAAAGTACTACATATGGATATTTGTACAGGGCAGATCCTAGCAATAAAGAAGGGAGCAGGCTGGAATATTGTATTACATACAGCCAGGGCTGAAGCTAGGGGAGGGGAGGCTGAGGGGACATGTGCCGCCACTGGGTGTGTGGATGGAGAACTTCTACCTTGGGGGGAGCAACTCTGAGCCTTTGCCCCAGGTGACAGAATGTCTAGCTTCCCCACTGCATACAGCAATTGTGCAGCAGGGAGCAAAAGCCAGTAAAAGCTGCTGGTGGCTCTGGTTGCCCTACACTAAACACACCACATAAAAATGTTTTATAAATATACATGTTCTTCATTAATATTGGTCTAAATAATGACAACTTTGGGTAAAGATGCAAACTTTGAATACGCACACACCTTGGGACTGAGTTTAAAAACTTCTGTTTTGGTTTGTCCAGGCTTAATGTTTCCTACATCAAACACAATGGAAAAAAGTTTATCATCCATCACTACATCGCGATCATATAGAGTGAGTTCCAGTATGTTCTGCAAATCAAACACAAGATAGAAATTTGGCGATTGCAGAATTCACAATAAACAATATTAATACTCCTTGAGGCAAAATGCATGTGTCCATATTGATTATGGAAATAAATGTTCAGAGAGCCTAGCCAGTCACAGCTTGCCTAGCCTGCATAACATGTGCTTGTCATTGTTTGAACTCGCAAAAAACTGCCAGTACTATGAAGTCTCTTCCAGCCACCGATGTGTTTCAAACATTCCTTGAACCTTTCATTGTGATTGATGATGGAAAAAAAGCAGGCACAAAGTTCCTTCAGAAAATCAAATCTACTCAGCCTTTTTGATGGTCTATAAAATCTGCATGTATTGCATCATGGTAAATTGAGTCAACTTTTTGATAAATTGCTTATATTTTATCATTTTAATTCAATTTATAGCCTTTCTCAGGTCTCACTCTCCTTCAGCAATGAAGATATTCTGCTTTGTTTTTATCAGGAAACCAGCTGAGTTTTTCTGTGTGACCGACTATATATTGTGGATGTTTTAACATGTAGAACATCTCTGGCAAGTCACTGGGTGGGCGAACTATAAACTGCTGTCTCCTCTACTTGACTGCATAGTGGCACCAGTTAGGGGGTGATGACTGAACTGGGGTACAACTAATGATATTGGGATAAGGTAAGAGGCATCAAGGACTTTGCATGACAAATGGCAACTGAAGGGCTAGCAGCAGGCAGGAAGGTATGTACAGTACTGCAGTATGGGAAGGCAATGCCACTATGGGGTGCTAGTACTAGCATAAGTCATATATTTTTAGAAAAGGCAACACAAATACGGTGTTTCTCTTTCAATTGTTTTTTTATTTGAAATTGTAGACAGATAGATAAACCTCAATATAATAAAAAAAACAGAGCCACTAAGCAGATGTATCAGCTGCTAAGATGCAGTGTTTTAATTGTATATGTTAAATTGAATCCATTTCAAATTTACCATCCTATTTCTTTTTCATAGAAATAATTGGTTCATTGTGAAACTGCACTGGTGTTATGTCACTAACTTAAAGTCCTACTCCTGATAAAACCTTATATTTTAGTTTGGGATAGAGTGTGGAAGGATCAAAGGCCCTTGGAGTCCTTGTCACTAGAAATCAGGGACATCACCTCAATGGGGATACAAACAAGATTAAAAATCTGACAGGGATATAACCGTTTCTCACCCTTTTCAAAACTTATAAAGTAAAACACTAATGTGTTAGAAAGAGGTAACTTCTCCATTTACTATTTCACAGTGTATATGTGTATTATTTTCTGTCTAAATTCAAAAGCACCATAGCATGCTCATGGCCTATAGAAACCAGTCTTGTTCTGTAACAAGTAATGTTTCCTGAGGCCATTTTACTTTGACACCTGCACAATAAGGCCTCATTCACATAGGTGTAAAGAAGTGGCATTTGATTTGCGTTATTGAAGCTTTTCAAAGCCAAAGCCTGTTCTTTATTACAAAAGTGGATGGTCTAGTACACAGATAAAAATCAAAGTGCATTTGCGTTGCTTTGCTTCATGTAGATTTTAATCTTGCCTGCAATGTTTGGCAGCTACTGACAACTTGCAAAGCCTGACAAATTCCTCAATTTAAGTCAACAGGAGAGTGCCGCAAATGTGCTATAAATATAGTGTAAATGCATATAAGGCATGCCCCTGAAAAAGCTGTTTAAAAGGCATTCTGAATTTTCAGGCAACCCTTGATAAATGCTATAGATGTCTCTAAAGCTTTGTGACACATTTGTCTTTCAACATACATGTGAACATAACCTCATGGGTTTGAATGTAATTGTATCATTCCTTTTCACATCTAGAAAACAATTGTTAGGTATGGGTTTTCATTTTTAACTGGTCTAGAAAAGTGACAGCTTTTGGGTTTGAACCAATTCCATAAACACTAGGGGATGCACTGATAATGGATTTCCGGAAATGGGTACTAGTACCGATATTTATCTTTCGGTACTCGATGATACCAAATACCAATACTTCCACTAGCATGGAGTAGGCTTCCTGGCCAATCATTCTTGATTGTCCAGGATTCCAGCTCCATGTTCCCTTGTGGAACAGCAGGTCAGAAGAAATCTCCCTCTGAAGTTCTGGTATCGGGGGTAAGTATTGGAGCAAATACTCAGTATCAGCACCAATACTAGTATCTCGGTGAATTCCTAATAAACACTCAGTTGCAGACTTTCATGTATGTAATTGATTTATCTGCTTGTTTTCCCTAATTGCAGTATATCTTCTTTATCAAGGTACCTGACAGTTCATTTCAATAGCTCTCACCTTTATTGCTCCATGAATACGATAGTGAAATGTTTCCTGCCACTCCGGGTCACTGGAATTGTAAACAACCTTTGTCCGGGAAGGAACAGGAGATGCAGTGGGGAGTTGTAGCTGAACATAGCAATCTGCATCTGATACTGGAGACAGATAACAAGAAAAAGATTTAATAACAGATCTCACAACCTATCAAGATATCTGTAATTATTTAATTGAGCAACCAAAAACTACTCTGCTCTAAACCCTCAGTTACTCTACATACGTATTAAAAGTAGAGAGGATTTCTTGGATTGTTCTGTCTTCTATTGGAATCTGCTAGGACAGTCAGAGGATGGCAACACACAGGGCAACACCTAATATTTGAAGTCATCTATAATTTTTGTAGTACAAAATTAATTGATTATGCATTCCGGTAGGTAATTATTTGTCCATATTCACTTTCTAACATTGGATGAATAAAAATGTACTTAAATCTGTAACTAGTAAAGAAATGTCATTGCTGGTATAGCCCAGGACTTAGTTTCAGCTACACTGAACTTAAATATCTCACAGTAAATATCTGACCAACAGCAAGGGAATGATATGTCAAAGCAGGACTGGACATATTGACTGTTCAACCTAATCTATTGCTCTGTAAAACAAAGGGAAGAGTGGGATACGTCAAAGGCTGTAAAGAATGGTGAGGAGTGGCTAGGAATAACTTGCAGGTACAATATAAATGCTTAGTGCTGCCAATGCAATGTTTGAATCATCACATCCTTCACCCCAATGTACAAGCACATACCTTTTAGCTGTAAAAGTTGGTTGTGTCCAAAATGAGTCTTATCTGCAGATAATCTATATGTGTGTGGGTACATTACTTTAACTACTATGCTACTTTCACTTTGCAAACATGAGTCAACAACTGCAAAGCAACAAACACAGCATTGCATCAGAGCAAGGAAAAAGAGTACCCATCTCTGGGTGTAGTGAATAATTACACTCTACGTGTTGTAGGGCAGCCTTTTCCAACTAGGGTGCCTTCTGGCTTCCTTAGGGTGCATTGAAATAGTCACACACGTGTCAACCCTCTGATGTGAAAGAGGGGTTCTGATGTGAAGAGGGGCTCCTAGTATGAGAGGAGGAGAATCTGATGTCAAAGTAGGGGGCTCCCAATGTGAAGGGAGCTCGAATTGTAAAAGGAGGCTCCTGATATAATGGGGGTGATTCTGATGTGCAGGGGGCTCCTAATGTGGAAGGGGGACTCTTATGTGCAGGGGGTACCTCACTTTTTGTGTTTTTGCATGGGGACCCCTCTTAAAATCCATACCAGGTCCCTATCACAGATAAGGGTCCGGTATGGATTTTGAAGGAAGCCTGTTTTTTTTTTTACATTTATGTTTCTTTCACTTCAGACTGGGAAGCCTAAAGATTCTGCATACTTTTAATGGGTGCCATGACTGAAAAAGGTTTTAGAAATGCTGCTCTAGAGGCTTCACAGGACACCTCCACCCTATACCAGGAAAATATAGACATCCCCTTTTTAGAATTGGATTCCTCTAATCAACTGAAGTCCCAGGATTTGGAATATCATTTGAATAATTCTGAGGGGGTAAAAATACTGTTCTCCAGGTTCCTTCTAAAACACTACTAGATGTGTATATACCCAAAAGTAAAAGATGGACACCGTCACTCCAAAGCAAATCCAGTACGTCCATTTATTCACGTACTTGTTGCAAATGCAAAACACAAGATACAGTGTTTCGGGGTCTCACAGGGTCCCCTTCATCAGGCAAACACTTTAAACGCTGTAACGCTGTATCATGTGTTTTGCATTTACAACAAGTACGTGAATAAACTTGTTTGCCTGATGAAGGGGATCCTGTGAGACCCCGAAATGCTGTCTCTTGTGTTTTGCATTTGCAACAAGTACGTGAATAAATAGACGTACTGGATTTGCTTTGGAGTGCCGGTGTCCATCTTTTACTTATACTTTGACGGAAGCCACCCATAGACACCTGCTGTACCCACTCATGGAGCAGCGGTTCTGAGTGCGATGGGTACACGGACTGTACCCTGTGTATATACCTGGGGCCAGCTGCTGACATAGAGGAGTATGTAATAGAGCCATGGTTGAGAAATACTTTATGTCTGTGCAGATTGTATTATATACATTTATTTTCTGTAAATATATTTTAATACCTTTGTCAATATCTTTGTGTTAAGCTGGTCATACACAGATTGAATTTCTACTGTTTTCAGCTGAAATTAGATCTGTGCAATTACCGCCCGGCTCAACACAAGTCAATTGTTGAGATGACTCTTGTGGAAGGAACCGGGTGAAAAATTGTCCACCAAACAGACTGAATCCACATGCAAAGACAGTTGTTTTAATTGCAAGATTATATCACATAGGTCAAAATGCCATTGAATGCTAGTGACCTATCTTCATAGTCCTGAGGATTTGCACGGTGCCATCCATGGTGGTCACTTCAAGCACTTATCCTAAAAAGTCAGAATGTAGTTCGGTATGCAGCAGGTAACTACAATGAAGAATACAACAGCCAGCAGTGAAGATTCCTCCATCTAGATGCTTTAGCATGAATGGGGAATCAAGTAATTTCAACCAGTCTGGGGGGCTGGTATGGTCAGCTTTACTATACTAAATTTGTTATTAAAGCAACCCTGTCACTATAATATACAACTTAGATGAAGGCAAAACAAACAAGTAAATACCTATGTTTGCTGCTGCTCACACCGCTATATGCCACATAGATACTCAGAAATCTTCTACACTGTCCATCTGCTGAGTTCCTCACAACTCTTACTGGTTTTTTCCACCTGACCTCCACTTTTTACAGGTTAAAGTAGTTATGTGGAGGTCAGAAGGAGGAACCAGTGAGAACTTTGGGGGACCCAGGAGATTTACACTCTGGGAAGTATCGGTCTCAGCGTGGATTTCAGTAGAAGATTTCTGAGGATCTGAGTTGTGTTTGGTGGTACAGACAGCAGGAAACTAAAGTATTTACTGATCTCTTTCACAGGTGTGCCTTCATCCACTTTGTACACTATAGTGAGGGGTCACTTTAAAAACAAATTTACCAAGAGATTTAAGGAAAGGAGATAAAGAGATGGGTGCTGATTGGAGTGGTCATTCTGGACAGAGCAAACATTACTTACACATGTCTGCTCCATGTATATGTCTGGCTTTTAGCACTTTCACACTCAAATTGTAATGGGGATGAATTTCCTTCTGAAATTATAAACATTTTATGGTTATAATATAATGAGAATGATCATACATTTATTCAAGAGATTATCAAACAATCAGCTGTGGCAAAGCAGAACATTCTTTATTTTGGTAGGACCAATGCAAACTACCGTGTTTTCCGCGAAAGTAAGACCTAGTGCTATCTTCAGGGATTTCTGTAATATAAATTTACTGTATACTTAAAAAAAAAAAATAAGACATCCCCCGAAAATAAGACCTAGTGTGTTTATTTGGGGAAAAAAAATATAAGACAGGGTCTTATTTTCGGGGAAACACGGTAGTACAGGTGTCCTATACAGTAAATGACAGGTATAATCTGGGATAAGGTTTTGTATAAGAACAGCACTTCCATTTTTAAATCTGAGCCTTGGGCAGATATAAAAGACACAAATAAATGCAACTTTGCAATCGTTAATACATCCTTATTTTCTTTTAAATACGAGCAGTGTAAGTACAAGACTTTGTCTATCAGCCCCTTGAAGTTGCCTATACAGCAGAGCTTAGAGACTGGGGAGGAAGAAGCAGCACAAGGAGTCAATCAGTTTTGCTGCAGAATGCTGATAGAACAGAGCAGACTGACAGATGGATAAGCTAATTCATCTGCTGCTTCTCCCGTCACTGTCCAGTCACAAGCTGTGGGAGGTACATGACCTGTAAGTGTTAATTAAAGGAGAGCTCTGAGGTGAGTGATTTTCACTCACCTCATAGTTCTAGCCGACCTGTGACAATGAGACTGTCACAGGTCGGCTCAGTAGATCGGGAGGTGAGCGAACACATATCGGCGTTCGCTCACCTCTCGATCCTGTCACGGCTCTCTGCCGTGACAGGGGAGGGGCTGGATTACCCCCGCTCCGCCAGCGCTGTTTCGGGGGAGGGGGCGGGTACAGCTGGCTCTGCCTTTTGATAGGCAGAGCCAGCTGTCAGTCACACAGCTGGGCGGATCCCGGCACAATTGTCGGGATCTGCTTCAGCTGCGGCGTCTCAGTATACCGCGAGCTACAGCTCGCAGTATACTGAGCCTAGGGTGACGGGAGGATGCTAGTTTGTGTCCTCCCGTTACCCTAAGGAGAACTATGGGGAAAAGACTTAACCCCATAGTTCTCCTTTAACTACAGCAAAGGAAAATCAGGTCTCACACACACACACAATACACACTATATATACAGAAAATATATATTATATTCTCCACTACAGTTTTACCTGTTACATGTTTGCTGTGCACATACCAATCTATTTGATGTGCCGGACCAGAACAAACATCATTTGTGACTTTGTACGGTACAGTACCTGTGAATAGGTAAAGGAGTAGCTAGTAATGTGTTGATCTTGGAAGGAGCCCAGTGTCTTTGAAAAGTTAGACACACTTGTACCAGTATGTGTTCATGAATTGTCAACAAAGAGTAGGATTACACTGCGCTCACGTATATGTTTTATCTGCCTTGTGCTACAGTTTTTAATGAATGTTATATATTGTTAGGAAAAACTATGAATGTATTTTGAGCAAATGTATACAATGCATTGGCCCATAACATTCAGATCAGATCCCTGGTTCATTTGACTTGGGCAGTTCATAAAATAACACTGGTAGTCCAGCAAATAAGGTAAGTTACACGAGAACACACACAGGCAGTGGCGGAACAATCGCCATAGCGACCCAGGCGACCGATATTGGGCCTGGGGCACCAGGAGGCCCGGCCAAGACATCCCCCTGATGCCATGCGGGCCGCCTGGGTCGCTATGGCATCTCAGGCTGCTTGCTGTCACTGGTGGCTGTGAGGAGGAACACGCCGCTATTCACATCACTGACAACCTGTCAGTGAAATGTGCAGCGGCGCGTTCCTCCTCACAGCCGCTGCTGAGTCGGTGACAACCAGCAGCTTCGGAGGAGGTGGCTGGGCACGTTGTTGGCAGCAATGGAGGAGGCGGGGCCCAGCGACTGTGGAGCAGGTAGAGGAGGCGGACAGAGGATCGGGGCTGACAAGCAAGAGGGATTGACCGCCCACATGAGACCCTGCAGAGCCCACCATAGAGAGTATATGGTGGGCTCTGCAGGGTCACCCTCAGGTGGGCTCTTTGGGTTATCAGGTGGGTGTAACTAGAAATCACAGGGCCCCATACATCCCGCCAAGCTCCTGGCAACCAGTGAGGTCAGTGAGCTGGGTGGGACCAGACAGAGAGATGCTAACATGCACAGCTCTTACACAGCCACCCGTCCCACCCCACAGGCCTCCACCCGCTGCCCGTGATAGCACTGTCAGCAAACAACCCCCAAACCCCTCCCCCCCCAACTATATGGGCTCAGGCGGCATACAAGGTAGGATTGGCCCAGAGGCGTCCCTGCTATGTCATTGCGCATGCATGTGAAGTCATTACGCATGTGAGATGACGTCATGCACACTTGACTGCCAGCGGCCATCTTGGTGATGGACTTCAGCAGAGAGAGGAGAGGGAGTTCATCCTGCGGGGAAAGGTATGCCGCCAGATCCCCTCCTCTCTCGTACTTGCATCATGGTATGAGTGCCCGACTTTTCACAGGGGATAACAGAAAAATACACCGGGCACCTTTCCTGGTGCAATAAACCTTTTATTCATTTCCAGCTCACATCTAGCAAAGCTCTGATGACACATTTTTGTCTTATAAAATGAATGCATTTTATTGTTCTACTTGTGTCTCTGATATTTTCCTGATATATAATGGCAATTCTACATAAATAAGGCCAGCATACATTCCCTATTTTATTGTGGAGATGGTCTGCTAATTTGAGCATTACTGCTCACAATCAGGATGTACTGGGGTTCTTACATCAATGATAATGTGCACTTGGGTGTAATTAAATGCCTACAGTATACTATAAAATTCATACTGTACGATCATTCAAGCATTGTTCCCCTACTCCCATGAGGAAGAGAGGGAATATTCCCTATGTTTATGTCACAAGGTTCCATCAGGGGAAAAAATATCTGAGGCATGGCAAGGTACAAGATGATCATTAGAGCAGTGTTTCTAAACCTATTGTTTAGTCACAGCACTCTGTATGTAAAATCTCGAGGCACCACAGTGGAAAATATCATTGATTTTAAAGGGGACAACATGCAAAAACAGCAAAAAAGTGGGTCTCCCCCTTCACATTGAAGTGCCCCCTTCACGTCAGAGTCACCATTTGTATCAGTAGCCCCCTTTTACATCAGTAGCCGCCTTAACATTATTCTTCATTTCCCCCTTCACATCACAGTCCCACTACAATAAAATTCTGAGGCACCCCTGAGGAGGCCAGGAGGCATAACAGTGTGCCATGGCAGCTTGGTTGAGAAAGGCCGCACTAGAGGATGATAGATGTCCCCGGTGGAAACCTAGGTGGGATCTGTTTGTGTATTTAAGTCTTAATTCCATTCAGATGAATTGATTGCCCACCTAGTCTTTGTATCAGTGAGACTGAGTTTTAGGGCCCTTGCACATGGCCGTCACCCCTGTACACTGTAAATGCCGGTGTATTCCCTCCACCTGCAGCCTCACATAAAAGTCAATGGCTGTACACTGTTGATAGTGGGTACATGCCAGCACCGTAAACCTGTGCATGCACACCGATGTAAAATCTTACATGCACACAGTCTGCGTCTAATGTTTTACATTCCTACACATGTGCAGATCTACAAAATGCCGTTGTGTGATTGCTGACAACAGCATTCAGCCATTGACTTTGATGTGAGGCTTTTACGCTGCACTTGGAGCTCCCTGGCAGTGGGAATACGCTAGCATTTATAGTGCCCAGGGGCGGGCGACCGTGTGCAAGAGCCCTTAGTCTGTGCTTTTCATTTTACATGAAAAGCCTTATAACACCCCATGTCACTTTACCATTCTGTAAGATAATACTTCTAATAAATGTAAACCTGTCAGTGCCAGAGCTTTGAGCAAGCCCCAACCTTTTTATTACAAATCCAACCCTCCTATTAATCACTTGCCAATTAATGATGGTGTGAATGGATGTTCTAGGTGTGCGGTGCTAAAATCTCAACAATACTACTCTACTAATAAAATGCTTAAATGCTTATTCAAACAATATCTATGTTCATACTATGAATGGCCAGATTAGTAAGGCAAAGTTAAGAGTCTATTAGCGCAAAGGTATAACATTCTATAATTAAAGAAGAACTCGAGGAACAAAAATGTAATTAACCCTTGCAGTGGGTCTACCTTTGCCACTGCAAACTTTAATTGCTCGTTTTTGTCTTGGTTAAAAAATAACAAAAGTTATGCTCACCTGAAGTTTCGAGCCAGCCAGCTGTCACAGCGCTCCCTCCAACCTGTCTCCTCTGCAGCAGCAGTATTGTATCTCCCTCAACCTCCTCAAATCTAAACACTGTGTATAGAACGTGATCATTTACATGGCCTTACACCGCTGAATGGGGAGAGACACTAGAAGGACCGGTCTAAGAAGAAGTCAGCTTGGAGCTTTGGGTGAGTATAACTTTTTTAACCTACACACAAATAAGCACTTAATCCTTGCAGTGCAGGTTAAGAAAAAAGGGTTAGGAAAAAGACTTCCTGGAGTTCCTCCTAAATAATGTTGGGTAACAATTAAACTAAACAATCATATTTTGTTTTCTAAAGCTGCCCATACACCAATAGATTTATCTGCGGATTTTCTATGGTCAGATGGAAAAAGTGAAACAGATTCTTCCATCTAAGCTAAACTGTGTGGATAGAGGAATCTCCCACTGGGCCAAGCATCAGTATCTAGCATGTTGGCCCTGCTGACTCTCAAAACACCTGAACAATGCCTGCATCCAATCAGATTGTTCAGGTATTTTGACAGCCAGCGGGACCAACTAGCAAGATACTGAAGCTTGGCCCACTGGGAGATTCCTCCATCCACACAGTTTAGCGTAGATGGAGGAATCTGATGCACTTTTTACATCTGACCATAGAGAATCTGCAGGTGTATGGCCAGCTTTATATAGACCAGCCTTCAATTTGCACTGTGTGGCTTCCCCAAACTTCTGATCCGAGGATTGTGCCCTGATTCCCTGCTCAGGACTACATGTCCCATCATTCCTACCGTTATGCATGTGTGCCAATGCCACTACATTATTATTTGTATTCCCCCGGCAGCTATACTGTGAACACACATGTAAGGGTGGCTTCTTTGGGGCTCTAAAGAACTCTTCAAACCAAGGAGCCACCCTTACAATGGAAATCAAAGCCATTGATGGGGGCAGCTGGTGAAATAAAAAGACAGAAATGCAGAAGCTGTAAAAACAAAAAGCAGAATGCAAGCAAAGTGCTGCCATCAGTATCTGAACTGAAAAAAAAACATAGGGTTTGATATGACTTTAAATTTCTTTGATTCTCTCTGCCGTTTGCTTTAATGACTGACTATGATCGCCATAAAATGTTGGCACTGCACACTGAAGAAACCAATAACCTTTCCAGTGTCCTTTCCTGGTTACTGGTGACAGCTCTACCAGTCCTGCTCTGTCCATGTACTCACCCTCCAGCTTTTTGGCCTTGGTCCAAGCCTTTCCTTCCTTTTCTCTTTCTTCCACCATAAAACAGCAGCCAACGCAGGCAGGGAACAGCCAGGCAAGCTGCTAACAGCTATTCGGAACATTTTTCCTTCCAGTGACTAGGCTGCGTGTGCTCTATGTGTCTTAGAACAAGGAGGCAGAGCTATGTGGGAATAGGGAGTAGCTTAGGCATGACTGACACTCACACTCACAGGTAAATGGATAGACCAAATGCCTGACAGGGGCGTTTTCCTGATAATTTGCTGTGTATATGTGAAGGTTACAACTTGTACAGCCTTTAACTCTTTGGATGTCAGCATTTCTCTATTACTTGCTGTTCTGATGGCCAGGGGAGTTTGGCCACTGTGTTGTTTCTCAATAAAAAAGTGCATACTGTAGTCAATTGCTCATACTAACCCCATTAAACAGTGAGACAGCAAACATACAAAACAACAGCTGCAATTGTGTTTCCATATTGCATAATTGTGTATGATTTCATACATTGTTGTATTGCAATAACAATTTGAACCATATCTAAAAATACAGATACATTTCGGAGTGATTTCAACCTAATGTATATCATAATGTTCTAAAAATGTTCCCTTTTCCTTAAAGTGTATGTCATCCCTTATAATTAACATCTCTTATTTGGTGCTTTCTGGTCTGTTAAAGTGACACTAAACCCAGGAGTTAAACCTTAAAAATACATTCAAGTACCTTAACTATCTTATTTGTGTATCACTCGGCTGTAGAGCTTCAAATCATCTCTGAATTGGTGCTGGCACTGTCCTTCCTTCTGGAGGGTGACTACTTTGTTCCCCATGCTCTCTGTGTGTTATAAAGTAGCCACCACTCCAAACTAACTCATGTGATGAACTACAATCTCAATACAAATTAGTAAACAAAATGTGAGATTGTAGTCCATTATAGAAAAAGCAATCCTCTCCCCCTAAAAAATGCCCCCAAATCTATACATTTCCTAAAATAAATGCCTAACTGATTGTAAAAATGATTAATCTTCTTTTCAGCCCCACAAAAAGCTTTCTACCCTCTAAAAGCAGACATTACCTAAAATCAACATAGTGTGCAGATATATCCACTGCAGCGTTTATGACCAGTAGCAAATGTGATGCTCGCAGTGATGATGACGGATGGCCCTGTGCACGTTAGCCTTGTAAAAGTGGAAGATCACCAGCACTCAGAAGATATCGTCAAATCCTTATGTTCATTTATTGAAAAGCAATGAAGTGGCCAACGTTTCGTTGCCACGCAGGGACCCTTCATCAGGGCGACACAGTGTAACTATATCGCCCTGATGAAGGGTCCCTGCGTGGCCCCGAAGCGTTGGCTATTGGATGTATGTGACGCTGCTTTTCAATAAATGAACATATGAATTTGACGATATCTTCTGAGTGTTGGTGATCTTCCACTTTTACAGGATTACCGAAAACCAGACACCCTATGAAATATAAAACACATACAGTATGTCTGCTGCTAGTAATAGGCCACCAATGTAGGTGTTTTACCTGAAAGGAAAGGCCAAAATGCATATTTGTGATCAAAAATCCTGACCCATATAGGTTCACCCAACAAACTACAGACAATCAATGAAGGACAGGATGAGTCAAAATTTGTCAGTTGTTCAGTCAGTTTATAAACAGAAAACAATACAAACATTGCGGGTCATTCCTACTAAGATCCATGACTGCCCTCTAGTGTCAATTTAGTAAAGTAATTCATTTTAGAAAAAAAATTTTTAGAAAAGCCTTGTGCACAGAACAAATCTGCAAATAGAATTGTGTGTGTTGTCATGTTGTTATTATCAATAATATTTATCATTTAATTTTTTTAATTTCCTACTTATATGCTTTCCATTGTACTAAGCAAAACCGCCAAGCTGTACATAACAGGAGCACTGCTCCCAGGGCACAATGAAACGCAGATGGTGGAAAGGACAGTCTGCCTCCTGTTTAGGTTGAGGGTTGAGCTGAAGTCAGAATCAAGTGGAGCTTGGGAGGTATAGAAATGCTAGTACACACCTAGCGTCAGGGCCAGTTCACACAATATGCAGTTGTGATGCAGTCCTTTTATTTTGACTTCTGCAGTCAAAATACATCACAATGCTTTCCTATGGGCTTTCTTGTGCCTAATTCACACCATTGCAGTCAGTTGAACTGATCTACCAGTGATCGCTACGCGATCGACTGGTAGATCGCGATCGACCTTGTGGGCACCCCTGGTATAGAGGCTTCCTGTCCATTGATAACAGGGGATACAGAAAAAGAGATTGAGGACTTTGTGTCCTCAATTTCTTTTTCTATTTTAAAAGGGAAATATCAGGGGGCTTTTTAGACCCCTAATATTTCCCGGAAGCCCCCCCAAGAGTAAAAAAATAAATAAATTATGAAAATTTTAAATAAATAATGAAAATAAAATAAAAAATAGTAAAAAATAAATTTAAAAAACTTTGTTTTTTCCCCTTGCCTCAGACGCAAAAGGAGCTGGCTACGGCTATGCTCCCGTGGTGCTCGTGCAGCTGCCGGCTGAATGTGTCATACGCTGCAGATGGAAAGGTGCAGGACACCCCATGTGCAACGTCGGCCACACGAGCACCACGGGAGGACAGGACGCCGGGACCTGTAATGTACTGGAATGCACTGGAATGTAAGCAGGCCGACTCCCTGCGTTCAGGTGCGGGAGGGGGTGTGGAGCTGTATTGAAGTCAATGGCATCGCCCACAGTGCGATCGCCCGCACTCGGAACGCAGGCACATTAGTGCCTGCATTACGGTCCAGTGCGATCTGCAAAAATAGTGCTCGCAGCATTTTTGCGGATCGCACTGGACTGGAACACAGGCACTAATGCAGGCGATCGCACTGTGGGCGAGGGGCCTGCCTGTGCAGCCTACGCCCCCTCCCGCCCCTGAATGCAGGTGTTTTTTCGTTGGTAGATCTCAATGAGGTTGTCATTTGAAAAGTAGATCTCCAGACGAAAAATAGTGGGCGCCCCGGCTCTATACTGAGTGTTCCTGTTCATTCATAACTTGTGGAGATAGTATGTTTACCATGTCCACAATCATGAATGAACAGGAGGTGATGTAGATCACTTCCCATTCATTCATAACCAAGGACACAGTAAACATGATCTCTGAGCATTTGTACCCGCTCTCCATCCTGGATTGGCTGTCACAGGAGGCCGTTCGAGCGGTGCGGGGAGGAGAGCTCGATCTGACAGCTGACTCCTCCCCCGCACCGCTGGCCAGCCGCCTCTAACAGCTGTCACCGCCCACAAATTGCCACTCTCCCGATCTGTGACAAGAGGCTGAGCGGTGCGGAGGGGGGTGGTGGGGGGGGATGGAGAGACGCCGGCTGCTAAAAGCGCTCTCCTCCCGCTTAGCTCGGTCTCTTGTGACAGTTTCTCTCCTCCCCACTGGGACACAGAGCAGCGCCCAGCGGGGAGGAGAGAGATCACAGCTGCCCTGCTATTTTGCACTTTTGGCATTTTCGGCTGATATGTTTCGACTGCCGAAATTTCGGTGTATCCCTATTAGAAACCCACCAGTACAAATAGAGGGGTGAATCCCCCCAAAAGGAGACTCAATCAGCAATAAAAAGAAACTCCAACTAAAAAAAGGTTTTACCTAGAGATACACTTTAATTAGGGATCCACAATACAATGTGTAGTGGAAGCAGTGAAGTTGCAAGTTACTTTTATCCTCCTGAATCCCAGGATTCTTTGTTCAGCGAAAGGCCTGAGCGTCACTGGTTCGATTGTAATAGAAGGTAGTAGTGAGAAGGAAACAGAAAAGAGAGGAGAGAAAATGGTAAACATGGGAGACATCTCTCCCTTACTGTTCATCATGCATGCTGAAAGCCCCAGAATACTTCAAACTAGGAACGTAGGGTTGCCTCAGGTCTTTGGGTTTCTAATAACACCCATGCCATTCATACATTCTTCAAGGAAGAAAGGTTGATCATTTTAAAATTAAACTTAGAAGGGCCATCAGATTATAGCCATGTAATATATCTAATTTTACACAAGGAAGTTCAGTGTGATGTGCAATCAATTTTCTATTATGATTAAGTGCACAAAATCCAAAGAGTTGTGCAATGCAAGATAATAAAACGTTACATCCTGACTGATGTTTTTATAGACCTACACTTTAATATTTCTGAAAAAGCTAATCATTAATATTTTACAACGTAATCATGTAGTGACCAGGTTCAACCAGGAAGTCAGACTAATTTTGCCTCAGACTCTGGAACCACATCCAAACACAAAGGTCCACTACAGGGCACACTCACACATTGTTATGCCAGATATTCTTGGCTCAAAGGGTAATAGCAGAAAGTGTTTTCACACTCTTCTAACCAGGGGCGGATCCAGAGTCTACTCTCGGGAGGGGCACTGCCAGAAAATAAGACCCCCCAAATCTGCACAGAGTGCAGAGGTCAATCGTAAGTAACGCACAGAGTGCAGAGGTCAGTCGTAAGTAACGCACAGAGTGCAGAGGTCAGTAGTAAGAAACATACAGAGTACAGAGGTCAGGAGAAGGTAACCCACAGAGTGCACCGGTCAGGAGGAAATGCACAGAGTGCATCGGTCAGAAGGATCTGACGCACATGCAGGTGGAAGTAACGCATGGAGTGCATCGGTCAGAAGGAAGTAAAGTACGGAGTCCATCTCTCAGAAGGAAGTAAAGTACAGATTGCATCAGTTAGAAGGAGGTAACGCACAGAGTGCAGAGGTCAGACGGAAGTAACGCACAGAGTGCATATGTCAGAAGGAAGTAAAGTACAGAGTGCATAGGTCAGAAGGAAGTAAAGTACAGAGTGCAGAGGTCAGAAGGAAGTAAAGTACAGAGTGCAGAGGTCAGAAGGAGGTAAGCCACAGAGTGCTTCAGTCAGAAGTAAGTAACGCACAGAGTGCAGAGGTATGTGGTAAGAAACGCACATGATATGTGTTCGCTCACTTCCTGATCTACTGAGCCGACCTGTGACAGTTTCATTGTCACAGGTCGGCTAGAACTATGAGGATGAGTGCAAAGCACTCCCCTCATACTTCTCCTTTAAGATCCAGTAGTTAAAAGTGATAAGAGGCTAGGCAAGCACACTACCTTTCTTCTAGTATACAGTATACAGTAC